TGTTCACGCTAAATGCTGAGTGCATTGCAGTGCAGTGCATTGCAGTGCAGTAGATCTCCACACTGATCTCCACAGATTAATGAAGGGATGCCTGTCTTGCTGTCTTTCCGATGCTGGCTGGCTGGCTGGCTGAATTTGACATCCTCATCTGTGCCTGTGCCTGTGGCTGTGGCTGTGGCTGTGTCGCCATGTGTAGTTGAGACGATGCTGCCTAGGCAGGTGTGTAGGTAGGTGAGTGGAGGAGACAACTTCCTTTAGATTTCTCGCGTTCATGTTGATTGGTGCTTGTTATTGTTGTTGCCGTTGTTGTTGTTGTTGGCTGCGTATCTTTTATCACCCCTATCTTCTCCATGTTTACTCGCAGTCCCGTCTTCACTGCCCAGCCTCTTCTTCCAACTTGTTAGTTTTCACATGTAGATCTTCGAGTTTCTGCAATATTAGACACAAATCATCATCTCAAAATCCACATCTTCTAGGGTCTTTCCACCGGTCAAACAGCGTATGCCCATCTCCTCACAGCTCCTCACACGTTGTTGCATGATCAAGTTCAGTCGAGTCCAGTCGACCACAATCAGGAAGATCATCGGTGATGGTAGGCGACAACCTTGTCTAACCTGTCAACCTGTCTTCACTTTAAAGGCATCACTGAGCTTTCCATTGTCAATCACTTGGCGTGCAACATCATATATCTGTTGAATCAGACTGATAAAGGAATGTGCCACTGAAGGCGTAGTGTTGAAGCAGCAGCTGCTAAATTACTTCTCGGTCGACGCTGTCGAAAGCCTTTTCAAAGTCGATGAAGTTGAGGTTGAGGTTGAGTAGAGTTGACTGCCATTCTACGTTCCATTCGATGATGATGTATAGAGTAGTGTTACAATTCGGTCCACACATGATTTGTTCTTCCTGAAGTCAGCTAGCCTGCCAACCTGTTCCGGTCGTAATGCTGTCGAATCCAGAGCACCTCTCAATCTCTCCAGGATAATGTGGCTTAGTATTTTGCTTAGGGTAGATAGGAGTGGAGCATGATTTGGTGCCAGTTATCGGAAAGATATGGGTCACCAATTCTTCTGTGAGAGTTTGACAAAATAGCCCCTCTTCTAATCAATGGGCACATACCTTTCCTTCCATCGTATCTTCCTTCCTTCCTTCCTTGCAAACCTCCTGCAATAGTGGTGTCAGCACGTCCTCTGCTCGTGTCTCTGCATTTGTTTTCAGTGCTTCTGGAGGAACTCCATCTGGTCCTGCTGTTTTCCCAGACTTCAGCGACTTTTATGGTGTTCAGTACTTCACTTCGAACTTTGTCAGAGTGTTTTTGTTCACTGGTAATTCTGTGGCTGGGATGCTGGTGGTATTTCTGGACGAGTTGTAGATGGTGGTGGTGGTGGTCGATTCAACAGTTTTTGAAGTGGTCAACCCATCGTTTACCTCGTTTCTCCTCTTCACCAACTAGGTTTCCCTCACTATCTTTCATTGGTTTCATCTGTGTTGATCTCTCCCCTCCCAGATAGTAACCTGGTTATTTGATGTAATGTTGTCAGGTCTCTGTCTCTCCTACCTGCAATCTGTCTGTTCTGCTTCATTTGCAAGTGTGTCGTAGAAGTGTCTTTTGTCTTCACGCGCACACTCTTCTCCTTCACTTCTTTGTCCAATGTAGTGTTTTTTAAATGTTGTGTTCATTTCCTCCTTTCGTTGTTCATCCCTGCACTACTTTACACTACACTGTACTACACTACACTATACTGGTTCATCTTCTGCTTCATCATCTTCCTCCCTCTCCTCTATCAGCTTCCATGTGGAGATGCATGGAGATCCATTCCTTGTCTTCTTTCTTCTTCCTTCCTTATACAGTTATGCAGGTTTCTTTCCACATCTCTTCCAAAGAGTTCCAGTGTTCTTTCATGCAGGAAAAGTTTCATGTGAACCCACTTGTTGGTGTAGTTTCCTTTCAACTTTAATCAGGCTAATATATATATATATATATATATATATATATATATATATATATATATATATATATATATATATATATATATATATATATATAGGTATTTAAATAAGGAAATCTAACGGATTCAGAAAACTGGTTGTGGATAAGTGAGACTGTAATTTTAAAACGCGGTAAGTCTTCATACGTTTAAAGGAAAACTTGCAAAGCTAAAGCAGAAATGAATACAACCAAAGCTACAATTGATAGAGATAAAAGTTATGACTTGTTTAACAGTAAGATTAATACAAAGTGTAGGAATAAACAATAGGCAAACAAAAATAAAGGATAATATGAATAAAATAAGATTGAAATATAGCTATCAAGCAAATAAGAAGTTAGGGAAACACAATCCTTCTGTGTAAATGATCTGACTGAGAACGCTAAATTCTGAAGACTTTTGTAAAGTAAATTAGTCATAACACCGTAAATCTTGTAAACAGTATGTCTGTGCTCTGTATTCATTAGTATTTCTCATAGGTATAATATTAAAGGTTTTGCAAGCCTTTAGACTTTCAGTCTTGCTATAGAAGAAGTCATTTTCAACGGTATTCTGATTTCTTTGTCTGAAATTTCAGATATTACATTACTTTTATGCACAACACAAATCAATATTTACTTTCAGTCAGCACTTTAGAATTTACTCCCTTCAATGAGTTCATTTTCATTTTTAGTAACCATTTATCATCTTCAAAGTTCTGAACATGTTCACCAATCTTGGTTTTATTCTCTCTTCTCTCATACACTTTAGTCAAGTTCTGTATCATTCCTTTTCTACTACTATAAAGTGTACTGAAATGAACTAGAGAAACTATGTACAGGAAATTACTTTGATTTTCCTTTCTATCCATATCTGAACAAATGTTGTTATGGTTCGTATCTTATCTTCTGTATCCATGTTCTCTTCGTATAGTCCTCTTAATAGTACCATCTGTATTTATTTTTCTTAGTAAATTTCAAGGTATAAAGCTCAATCTTCCGTTCGTTACCCATCACAAACCTAATAATTATGAAGTTCAATAAGTCCTATGACTGCACTTTTCTTTCGATAATGTTCACATGTCTTCTGGGGAAATAATGAACAGATTTAAATGTGGTCAGTTCTCACGCTTGATATACCATGATTATGTTTTTTTCAGGGTTTTAAGGAAAGCCTTCATTTAACTGGTCTCTGGTCGAAGTCATCATCATAGGCTTTGACAAGTCTTAAGATATTTATGCTGGAGATCTTAGATGAGCTTACACGTTAACGATGATGGATTATTATTACTATTTGTCTCTTGGGTTCCTAATGGAACATAGAGCTTCACTAACACGTCTCCAATGAAATTTGTTATCTGAAATCTTTTGAACCTGCCCCCACGACAGCTCACAAGCTCTCATTTCCTCCTTGCATGATCTCCTCCATGTCACCCTCATCTGGGACGACCAACTCGTCGCTTCCCATCTGGGTTCCACTCAAGGACCTCGGGTGTGATGCCCCCGAATGGTCTTCTCACTGTATGCCCAATCCAATCCATCTCCACTTCCTTCCACTGCATATTTGTTCAGTAATAGCTTCGTTGGTTCGTTGCCAGCCAGCCAGAGTTCCTTGTTGCTCATTCTTATTATTCTGACCATCTGAGCTTCAGTAATGAGCCAGAGTAGGCAGTTGTTGATGAATGTCTGTAGTTTGTTGGAAATCCCTTCCGTAACGTGCCAATTCTCTCAACCATCACATGGAAGCACTGATTTGACGTTGGTGTTGAAAATCTGGATGTTGTTCACACTTTATGCTGAGTGCAGAACATCTCCACACTGGTTTCAGGTTAATGAAAGTCTGTCTTGCATTTTCGATCCTGTCTGACTTTGACATTCTCGTCTGTGCCTGTGCCGCCGCCTGTAGTTGAAACGGTGCCTCGTAGGTAGGTGAAGGAGGCTACTTCTTTTAGGTTTTTCCCGTTGATGATGATTGGAGTTTGTTGTTGTTGGTGGTGGTGTTGTTGGTTGGGTATCTTCATCACCTCTGTCTTCTCTATATTCACTTGAAGTCTCGTCTTCACTGCCTCAGAAGAAATCTGTCACCATTCTTCAGCTACGCTGATTACCAACTTTTGAATATCTCTTGTTCGATAAAAACATCTACTTAAGAGACATTTAGTTAAAGCAGTCTTTAGTGTTATTCCCGTTCACTGTAGTAATTACATTTCAGTACCTTTTCATTCCTGACAACTGCTAACCCAACAATTAATAGACTCATAGAATCTCGCTTCTCAGCTTAAACATTAGTTATGCTGTTGACCCCTTCAATTTTCCTATTATGAAAACTTGTGTTCTTGTAAGATGTTTATTTCAAGGTGGTATTCGTCTGAAACCGAAATCAGCTGTATATTTGTTATGTCATAGTATCAACTTTTGAAACGACTATAAATCACGTGGTTATTTTTCAGTTATCTATGCATTTTAATTACTTACCAAGTGACTTTTATTTGAGTAATCAAAATTTTGTTGAAATCCTAATATTATCTGATGTTTGTTTGTTGTAAATACTTGAGAAAAGCAGTACGAAATAAAGTGAATATATTTTATTCCATTTCAGGGTTTGTGTTCGCTCTTTTCAGAACTTAAGGTTACTATTCAAGCCAGTGTATCTTTCAGTTATCTTTCAACATTGATGGACAGTAATCAGGATGCTATGACAATTTGAACTAAGTGTGAGCTTATATAATAAAACAGAACATTTAGTCATCAATCAACTAATTCAGCTGACACTAGTGACTTGCGAAAACTCGATTTTTAAATATTTTTAGTGACATTTTCAAAGCTTCTAAACCAAGACCATATACTCTTGTTTACCTATTATTCACTGGATAACTATGAAATTCGTCGTAGCATGAGAATCCTCAGCAGTGAGCACTCACGACCTCGCCAGGGACAGAACCCAGCACCTTACCGTTTTACCACTGGGTTAGAATCAAATGGTTCATATATCCTACTTCTATCACTTCACAATATAGCGCCACCAATATCCAGTGTCATCTTTGAGCAACTTTCCTCATGTTAAACTTAGTTGACTACACTGGTCATGACATCATTGGAACTTCGAGTATCACCTCTCGAAGTTAGTCATTAATGAGCACTAGGTTAATTGTACCCGGAGGTTTGTGGAGATTTACTGATTGATTTTAGGCTGGAATTCATCATTGACTGACATCGGTCGAGAAAACATTGGAAACCTGGGTGAACTGGAAAGCTGTTTCGTCGTAGTACGGGACTCCTCAGTGGTGCCCACCCATGATCCCACCAGAGGTCGAACCCAGAGCCTTCAGATTCCATGGCTAGCACGTTACAGCTGTCCAATGCCCCCAGATTTCCACTGTCCCTCTAACTGATGTCAGTCCATTGTGAATTCCAACCCAAAACCAATTAATATATCTTCACAAACCTCCAGAAAGAACTATGAATTTCTTAAAATACACTTTTCGATACCATCTTGCTTGTTACATACAGAGAGCGAAACAAAAAATGAATGAAACAGAAATCCGGTTTTCTTAAGACATTTTGTAGGTTGTTTTACAATATGTTCACTTTAAACATCATTGTCTGACTTTTGTTGTAATGTAAATCAGCGCCAAAAAAATCCCTGCTATATTGAAAAGTAATAATGGCCTCGTATTCACTCACCTCTAGTATTTGATCGTGGACATTTCATTCACCAAAATTGCCAACAATAACTCTAGTGAGCAATAAGGTATATTTACGAGTTATATGAGTGTTTATGTATTCCTTGTGTTGATCAGATTTCTACCCATTATAATCTGCGGTTTTAGTTACGAATCATCTGACCTTAGTAGAGCAATGCTGAGACTTTAGGATCTCTCCAAACATCCTACTACTTAATATGATAACATTCAGTTGTTAATGAAATGAACAGTAGGGTTCAGTGTAAGGTAGTTGAAAGACTGTAGTCCGTTTCAATAGTGACTGTGAATGGAGTAGGAAAATCTATTTCCAAGTAAGTGGATATGATAGCTTAATTTTAAGTTTATTTATCAGAAGTTGTATTTAGGTTGTACTTGTGATCTAATCGCTTACTTTCATAGATACCTGTTGAAACCTTGGTAAGAATCATGTGATTTTAAAATAAATTTGTAGTTCAAACTGAACACGTTGTCGATACAGCCCTCAACTCCTGCATCGCGCATGCACAGTTTATGGACAGGTCACACAGTTTACTCTGCCAGCATTCATTCAAAGGAAAATAACACTAGGTTATATGAAAATCAACAGTTAATTGTGCTTAGAACATCATCATGTAAATAAAACTACTTCAAATCAACTCAATAAACAGCCGAAATTTGTTGGAGAATGCTTGCCACCCGGAATAAGAAGTTTACAGTGAATTTGATATTGAAACAGGAAAATGTAGACAAGAAAGACATTCTTCGAGTAACCTTTCTGTTCCCTTTTGATGAATTTCCATGTCATGGCTTTAGTGGTAGGCTAGCTTCTCAGCACATCAGTACTAGCTCTAGAATTGAATTACCTGAATTAAGTAAAAACAAAACAAGAGTAAGAATTTCGACGGTTACTGGATAAACGGAGGAAACAAATGTTTCATCTCCAACAGGAGTAAGGGTTGTCAAAATTAAAAAACCTAAAGCATATGGCTCACTTTATTCCAGACAATGATTGGAAACGATAGGAACTGATCCACTTTGAACCAGCCAGCGCCAGTAAGCCATAAGACCCATTTAAGGATGAGTATTTTTGTTAGATGAATACTTATGAAGTTGGAATAATACATGTAAACTTGCCTTCAATTGGAATAGGCTTCCAAAACGCTAAAGTAAGATTTTGGACATTCGATAGAAAACCAAATGCATATTAGAAGTTTACCAGACACTGAACAGTATATTGTATCAAAAGTTGAGGATGATGAACAGCATCTACTTATCCGTTTTATTATTGTAAAGCGAAAACATGAGAGACTATAGAAAGATGTATCAGCCTGTCGCCATAATCATGTTACCGAAGGGTTTGTGAAATATCGAGCTCCTCCTTTGGTAGATTACATGAAGCTGATAGAGGAGGGAGAGGAAGATGATGAAGCAGAAGATGAACCAGTGTAGTGTAGTGCAGGGATGAACAACGAAAGGAGGAAATGAACACAACATTTAAAAAACACTACATTGGACAAAGAAGTGAAGAAGAGTGTGCGCGTGAAAACAAAAGACACTTCTACGACACACTTGCAAATGAAGCAGAACAGACAGATTGCAGGTAGGAGAGACAGAGACCTGAAAACATCATATCAAATGACCAGGTTACTAACTGCGAGGGGAGAGATCAGTGCAAATGAAAACAATGAAAGATAGTGAGGGAAACCTAGTTAGTGAAGAGGAGAAACGAGGTAAACGATGGGTTGACCACTTCAAAAACTGTTGGATCGACCACCACCACCATTGATTGGAAGAAGGGCTATTTTGTCAAACTGTCACAGAAGAATTGGCGACCCATATCTTTCCGAGAACTGGCACCAAATCATGCTCCACTCCTATCTACCCTAAGCAAAATACTAAGCCACATTATCCTGGAGAGATTGAGAGGTGCTCTGGATTCGACAGCATTACGACCGGAACAGGTTGGCAGGCTAGCTGACTTCAGGAAGAACAAATCATGTGTGGACCGAATTGTAACACTACTCTATACATCATCATCGAATGGAACGTAGAATGGCAGTCAACTCTACTCAACCTCAACCTCAACTTCATCGACTTTGAAAAGGCTTTCGACAGCGTCGACCGAGAAGTAATTTAGCAGCTGCTGCTTCAACACTACGCCTTCAGTGGCACATTCCTTTATCAGTCTGATTCAACAGATATATGATGTTGCACGCCAAGTGATTGACAATGGAAAGCTCAGTGATGCCTTTAAAGGGAAGACAGGTTGACAGGTTAGACAAGGTTGTCACCTACCATCACCGATGATCTTCCTGATTGTGGTCGACTGGACTCGACTGAACTTGATCATGCAACAACGTGTGAGGAGCTGTGAGGAGATGGGCATACGCTGTTTGACCGGTGGAAAGACCCTAGAAGATGTGGATTTTGAGATGATGATTTGTGTCTAATATTGCAGAAACTCGAAGATCTACATGTGAAAACTAACAAGTTGGAAGAAGAGGCTGGGCAGTGAAGACGGGACTGCGAGTAAACATGGAGAAGATAGGGGTGATAAAAGATACGCAGCCAACAACAACAACAACGGCAACAACAATAACAAGCACCAATCAACATGAACGCGAGAAATCTAAAGGAAGTTGTCTCCTCCACTCACCTACCTACACACCTGCCTAGGCAGCATCGTCTCAACTACACATGGCGACACAGCCACAGCCACAGCCACAGGCACAGGCACAGATGAGGATGTCAAATTCAGCCAGCCAGCCAGCCAGCATCGGAAAGACAGCAAGACAGGCATCCCTTCATTAATCTGTGGAGATCAGTGTGGAGATCTACTGCACTGCAATGCACTGCACTGCAATGCACTCAGCATTTAGCGTGAACAATATCCCGATTTTCAACACTACTAATTCAGTCAAGTCAGTCAGTCAGTCAGTCGGTGCTTCCATGTGATGATTGAGAGAGTTGGAGCACCACGGAAAGCATTTCCAACAAACTACACACATCATACATGAACAGCTGCCACCCACGCTCACTCGATACTGAAGATCAATCAGATGGCCAGAATAATGTGAATAAATAACAAGGAACTGACTCCGGCTGGCCTGGCAACGAACAAACCAACGAAGCAACAACCCACCGCCCAACAAATATGCAGGAAAAGAAAGTCGAGATGGATAGGATTCGACATACACTGAGAAGACCGATTGGGGCATCACACGACCAGGCATGGCCAGATCGTCTATTGAGACCCGCATGGGAAACGACGAGTTGTGCGTGCCGTCTGTTGGTGATGTGGAGGAGATTGTATGAGTAAGAAATGGAAGGTTGTGTGTAGTGTTGTAGCCAGGTATTGAAGACTGTGGAGAAGAGAGTGAACTGGTGACGTGCTAGTGAATCCCTATGTTCCACCAGAAATCCAAGGGACAACTAATAAAGAGCGTATTATATTCTGTGCAAGATACTGAATAATGGTTGAAACTTAACACAGGTAAGTTTGTACACTATTGGTGGCTTTCTTGATTTAATTTTGAAGTTAGGAATCAATCAGGAAGGTGCGTCTGCAACCGTAATCTTGATGTTTCATCTTTGTCAATGAATTCTGAAATTCAGAGACAACAATCCTTACATATTTAGACCAACACTAAACCCGTGTATGACTATACTGAGTACAAATGTTTGGTCATGAAAGGGTGACTGGTTTAGTTTCTTCATGGCTTTAGACACACCTTGTCGATGAGTGTCAAAAGGCAAGAAACATACACCGAAGGGGATTTTCGGCTAATTAACTCATAAAATTTAAAACCAGTATAAATTGAGCTACAGTGATGAGACACTGAGCTGAACGTTCAGATTAGAAATTATATCTGTAGGATTTGGACATCTGTTAACTTCGATCTTTCCGTTCATATGTTGATTCACATTGTACACAATCAGAAGGAGAACACACTTCCTCATCCGAATCTGGTACTACCCCCTCGTCATGTGACATTACTACAAAAATAGTTAGGTTTTCGTTAGTGTTTTTCTTTTTCACAGAAACAAATCTCTTGATCTCAAAAGTGTAGTAGGTGAAATGATCTTAATTGTCTACTGCCACTTCCTGTTATCCATAAACCGACTGATTTCATTAAAAACTCTGAATTGTACTCATTCCAGTCATATGTCTGCAGTAAACGAGTAGATGAAGTTTATGTGAATAAATGTCTAGTAAACATAGTAGTATTACATTATTTGAATAGGATTCACAGAAGTGAATGTTTATAACTATTAACTAGTTATAAGACAAGTCAGGTTAGAAAGATGCTTTATTAGTGTTAAGGTAAGACTGGGACGCTGTTAACGATTATAATTCGACATTTTTTTTCATTCAATATGTCATGTGAAAGTAATGATAAAATTATTATTATTGTTGTTATGGTTATTCGATGAATGAAATTTTGGAAATACTTAATTACTCATAACAGGGAAGTCACATAATAATTTACTGTTGTTTCTTACACTACCACTCCAACAGTAGTTATTTGGCATAGGTTCTGAGTGCATGGAAGATCCTGTTGGCGTTTGGTTCAGGGAATGAGAAGCTGTAAGACCATACAAACTAAGTCTCAATCGTTCCATACCTATCATGAAATGATGATCGACTTTAAATTTTGAGTCAAGAATCATCCAGTAGATAATACAGTGCTACAATACTGTGTAATGAATGAACAAGTCATTCATGTGTTTTACTATGTGAAAAGAATTTGATTAATACTCAGGCAATTCAAGGAAACATGAAGACAATGGCTATTCGTGTTGAAGAAACACTGAATACGCCCAAGTGTGTTCACTAGATGTGTATGGTTAATAACATTTGAAGTGAAATAGTTAGCGGAGTGATGCATAAATCCTAGTGTATTGGATAGCTAAAACTTCTTACATGATCCTTGCAAACACTGGTTGTCAATTTTCCATCAGTCGAAAAGACGTGTAATCTGCACAACTTTCATCAATACCCAGAACGAACTGCAAGTAAAGTTAGTCATTGAAGATGTGCTGATTTCACACTTGCTATTTAGTATAAAAACTTTATGATCGAATCATTAGTTATCAATGGGAAAGTTGGCTTATGCATGAACTATTCATTCACTTATTTCACAGAATTTTTAACTCAACAGCTGCATCTTACAAAATGAATAAGCAGTCAGTTTAAAGGATTGTGGGGATATAATGATTTATTTCTCGTTATTGGTCATCATAGGTTGACATCAGATGGAGAAAGATTGGAAACGTGGGAGCAGTAGACAGTTGTTTCATCCAAGTATAGAACACCACAGTAGTGCGCACGCATGACACTACACAGTCAGAGAGAGAACCCAGAAGTTTCAGGTCGCGTAGCCAGCACGTCACCACTAAACCAGTGAATCGGAATCCAGTCGTGCATATTTCCTACTTTTCTCAGTTCACAATACAGCGATATCTCCATCCAGTGGGGTCGTTCAGTCACTGTCATCACTTCCGACCTCGTTGCCCTCTCTCTTGTCACCAGTTCTGGTTGGCAATTCGAGAATCATCTCTCGATGCTGGTCACCGATAAGCACCAGATAAGTTCAATTTTGATGTGTGTGGAAATCTGCTGACTGATTTATATTGGTATTGTGCAATGTTTTCCAATGTCTGATCCTCTGTATAAAAGACCAATTGTTTGCTCTCTTGTGCATTAGAAAACATCAGCCGTCTGCCTTGTCATCAAATCCATGACCCCGAACTAGATATCTATTTTGCTTCTTCACTCTATGAATAATACGATGAAAGATCGATTAGATTCTTTGTATGGGCCGGTGTAAACACTCACGCTGATCTACCCGACTGAAACTGG